TATAAATTTCGTTCTTCTAATTTTCCTTTTGTTTTGTGTTTTTTTTTTAAACACTTGAGGTATCAGTTTTTTGTCATTCAATCATTCTTTTATAATATATAATATTGTTAACTTTATTAAACATAATAATTTAACTTGTAATCATTTCAATCACTGAATGATTTAATTAATTTATTTCCAACTCTTAAACAGACAATATTGAGACTAATTTCGAATATTTGGCGAATATTTAGCATTAAGAGCAAGATCTGTTCATAGCTTCCTCCTAACAGGGTAGCCAAAGGGGTAAAAGATAATTGTCATTAAAGATTTACTGAACTGTATAATTTACCAATTAATTATGCTAGCTGTTTTATAAAGTCTATAGCTGAAGTCGGAAGTAACAGAATGACTTTTGTGTTGTAATAAATGCGGAAATAATTTTTCTTGCTTTTTGTAAAGACATTGAGCGTACACTGGCTTTGAAGAATGAGGGAAAATTTTGGTTCAGTGCATTAATCAATGGAAGAATACAACAATGTGGTAGTAATAGATTGTTATGCCATTGATACAAAACAACAAAAGGAAAAACCCCCAAACATTTACAGTCACATTCTCAAAATGACTGACTGATCAACACTTGGATGCATTCTGCTTCAGTGTACTGTAATATAACTGTACAGTAAGATTATCAAAAAATAAATTACTGTAAATAAGTATGTTTTTCAAACAGTAATTGATAAAAAGTTAATGAGCACCACCATATACTTGTGTACAAGGCGTATAAGATGACCCTTGAGTTTGAGGTATCTGTGGACTATTTTTGTCAGAATTTATACTTTGTTGCTGCTTCTTTATGGTCCTAATACTGCATCTAGCTGGCTAAAAAAGGAGACAAATGTAGAGCTAATCTTCAAAATAATACTATTTTATGGGCTTTGAAATGTTCATCAAAATGCTATTTCCCAGTATTTAAAATTACGTTCATTCATACTAATATTTAGTAGCTTAATTGCAGTAGTAAATGTAGTAGTCGCATGTTACGGATGATCCACACATAAGACAAACAAGATTTCAAAAATCTAATATTTATACGTTGCACGTATAAGAAGACCCCCCCCCCCGCCGTTTTTTTATGGCCTCATCTTATACTGTACGAGTATGTATTATAGTAATACTAGCACCTTTCTTACCTTAGTAACACCTGAAGAAGCTGGTTTGTGTCTCAATAAGTAACTTAAATACCAGTATCCAATGTTTCTGGCTTTTCCTAAAATTTTACACTATAATAGAATTTCATAAAAACTAATCCATAAAAAAAAGGTTTCATGGTAATGGTAAGACACTTATAAAGCGCATACTACATGGTCTCTACGCGCTATGTATTGCTACAAAAAAGAAAACCCAAAAACCTAAATCAATCCTAAAATCTAACAAGCAACCTAAAAAACCACCAGAAACAGGCTTCTGCAGAGGAGACAACATCACCATTTATTGTTTTCTGAAATTCATGTACAGTGGCATATCTGAGGAGAGTGGGGGTGTGTGCACATGCCCCTCCAAAAATTACTCGTACCCCCTATTAAAAAAACACAAAAGGATAAAAATCACCTTATTTTCCGAATTAGCGCCCCGCAACTGATCATCGAGCCCCCAATTCACCTTCACGCCCGTCCCCCCCTCCATCAGCACCCCCATTTCAGGACTTCTAGATATGCCACTGTCCATGTACCGTGTACGTACTGTACTATCTCGAAAAGAAGCTTTTGTTACCTTGAAAAGAAGCCCATGGGCTTCTTTTAGAGGTTAATTTTGCAAACTAGAGAGGGGCTTCAATTCGAGATGGGCTTCATCTCGAGATTAAGCCCACTGGACTTCAATTCAAGGTTTTACGTTAACTCACAGATGCTCAAATAATGGTGACATCTAGACTAGCCTATCCTAGTAACAACTAAATGGAAGAAGAAAATAAAAACAAAAATGAAAAATTAAAATGTTTGAAAAAGGTAAGGTAGGTTTAAAGTCTCTATTTAAACATGGAGATAGAAGGCTTAGTGAAATTTTATATTCTCATTTGATGTTTTAATAGATCATTCAAAGGCTAGGCCATAGCTACTACTCTCATTATCCTGCAAATTTTCAAAATACAGAACAAGGCAATTTGTCATATTTGGACTGTCAATAATTTTGCAAGCAAGGTCAAGTTGACTTCCAATGCTTTTGTCGCACAACAGAAGCAGGGGTTAGAGGCTAATGCAGGAAATTCATATTTTCATGGATAAGGTGATGACGAGACATGCAAAATTTTCTAGTTTTTATCGATTGTGATATTTTTTTCTTTTTTAAAATTAAATTTACATGATTTTCATATGTTAAATTGTCTATAAACTTTTTCGGACCCATTTTTGAATTAAAGTTGCTATTAAGTATTATCTTCAGCTTTCTTGTACATTATTTTCAAACTCTCATGGAAAAAATTAGTAAACTATCTTTGGTATGCATAAATACCCTACTTTGCAGACTATGCACTGCTGTAGAATGTAGAAAAAAATCCTAATGAACCCTACACAAAATAATCAAACATTCAGTGTATCACATTGCAGCAGCACAAACATGTTGTGTTCATAATTCATAACCTTTGTCCTTGCCAAAGCTAATGTGAAGGAAATGGATTTAATGAAATGTACATTAATATTTTTACATTACAATTATTTACAACAATCTTGGCTTATGATTCTATGCAGCCAGGCCTACTAAAATCACCCAACCATACCAAAAAGAATCCATTGCAATTCCCTTCCATATAGTACCCAAAAACTTTACAATCCTTTTCTGTAGGATCTTTGTAAAAAAAACTAACCAATCACAAAATCGTCAGCAAATTGACCATTCTTATAGACCGCACCATTGGAATTAGATACTGTAATTCCTGAGTTAGAATTTAAATGGTTATCCCATATATTAACAATGACTTTGAATATAGAATTGTACAACTTATGTTATAAACAATTTGCCCTCCAGTTCAAGACAACCTTAAGAACCTGAAAACATGGGTTGGTCTCTTGGTCTCGGTCTTTCTTAAAGGGTTAGCATTGTGTTAAAAGATTGAAGATTGTTAATTGGTTCTTTGAAAAAGTAGTCTCAAACTGGAGGGGTCTCAAAGTTAGGCCCATAAAAAAAAATATTAGTTTATCACCCCCTCCCTCATCACTTTTGGGGAAATTCTGATTTTTTTTCTTTTTTTAAGCAACGTATATTTTTATTACAAACGGTCGTTTTTCTATCTTTTTTGACAGATTTTGAAAGATGAAGATTTCTTACAAATATGTTTAGTGGTACAACAAAAACATACTTTTAAAATATAAATTTGATATTTTATTCTTACGACTTTTTATATGTGTCCCTAACACCCAGTTTCTAATTTATAATACACAAAAGAATGAAAATAGAATTGTGATACAAAAACTCTTGGCATCCTAAACCTATTGTAGAACAACATCAAGACAAAAAAACCCATTGTCCACCCCACTTTACAATGTTATCTTTGGGGACTGTCTCTTATACACATCTACATATTTTTTAAATATAAATTTATTCCATTCTTATGATATTTTATGTGTCCCTAACCATTGATTTAATTGTGAACATCGGTAAAATGGGGGGGGGGCAGGGTTAGAACAAAAAAAACAAAACAAAAAAAATCTTCCTCCCTCACTCATCAGTTTTTATTGTTTGATAGGGTGATAAACTAATATTTTTTATGGGGCCTTAGAGGGGTCATGAATTGAACGATGAGCTATCAAACAGGAAGTTAGAGTTGTGGAACTCTGTAAAGCGACATTTTTATTTATTTTATTATATTTTAACCTTTCTCTATTCAGGATAGAACCATTCTGTGACTAGCACTGCTTTCCAAGGAAGACCTGGTACAAAAACAGAAAATATACAAAAATAAAATTCAAAAGTAAATAAAAAGTAAATCTAAAACAATGATGTGCCTAAATCTGCATTGAATCTAGTTGTTTCCTCATCTGATGCTGGACTATGCAGACAACCTCAATCACTGATGCCTTCAATGATTTCAAATCTCCGGATGACAACAAGGACAGGATAGTGACACGACCAATTGGAGATACCTGTACTCACAAATCTTTATTTAGCCATGACATGCATTCTAACAATATCAGGAACCAAAATTAGAAATGATACAACAAATCAAAAAATAGAATGATTACAGTATGCCTACTTTTACAGGTAAAATATCAATACCATAGGCAGATTGACTCTGTTGAATGTGTGACATATGTGTTATTGAGGGGTGATTGGTAATGCTAGCGATGAATACAAATAGTATGCCATGGCATTAATAACAAGAGGCCATGAAAAATCAATAATCCACTGGCCTTGAGCTTTCAATTGTATCATCAACCAAAATAGATACAATAAACCATGTCAAGGGTAAAATGAATACACTATGCTAAAATGTACCTGCATGTATGTAGTATCCAATTATACAGTAGACGCACTTAAGCGCCAATCAAACTGATAACCTCAACAAAATCTCCATAGAGATGAAAAACATTTAATATTTTGATTCACATTAAAGATAGGATACATATTCAATGATAACAATCTTAGACAAACTACAGTTGACATTGATAACATTAGGCTTAATGATAATGATGCAGTATATTAATTAATCTTTTGATTGTTGCCATCATTATCTATTGTTTTTATCAAAACTTAAAATTTAGTGTACAAAACAGAAATTTTACAGCGATTTATTCTAGATTCACAAAGCAAGTGATGCATCTATGGAGCAATGACGATGATGATATTTTATGATGATGATTAATATAATAGTATTAAAAATTAAGATAGAATATGATTGTAATGACAATGATCAAAATATTGCAGTGACGATTCAGTTTTTATAAAAACATTGGATGATGAAAATGTACACAGTATAAATTAATGTTTATTCATTTAATTATAAAAATTGAACAAAGGAGTCCACTTACCTAGAGTGCTTTAAATCATCCTAGAAGAGAAAAAAAAATTAATTAAAATTTCAAAATTATTACATTTAGGCAAATAATTAATGAATAACTATATCATACAATTAAATTCTTTAGTTAATAAACATACATTATTTTATTAATGTATTGAATTTTAAACAGGCAATGACAAAATCAAGTAAGGAGTGAACATAAACAATAGAGAATTTTTTTCCTGAATGACAGAGTGAATGATGCAAATAAGTTTGAACAATTTGAAAAATCTGGATGGAAAGCAAGGCCCATTCTCTGTGATAGTATCTCTGGCCAATCTATATTAAATGGTCAAAAAATTTAGCCATACATATTATTCTCACATGGTTTATGATATGAATAACTCATTACTGTACTGAGTCTAAATAGCACTTCTATCGATCTTGTTTAATGGTCCACCTCACATGTTGCAAGTCGGCTTGACTACAAGTTTTGCTTGAAAACAGCTTAGCTAACTTGTTAACTGTGCATACCATAATTGTGTGGATAATATTGTTTGCCTTATGATGAGGCTCATGAGGAACAGCCAAGCTGATAGCAGTTGACTGACCAATTAAAAACATGTTCTGACTAGTGTGTAGGCTAACATTAACGCAATGTGCTAATCATTAAGCCTTGATGAGAACTTATAATAATTAATGATAATTGAGAAGAGGAGTAATTTCTCATTGTGCGGATGTCAAATTCACAATAGTTGAAATTACTATTATTATATTGCTATGCTAAGCAAGTCAAGTTATTTACTGTAGCAGAGCAGAACGTGCTTGTGTGCAGTGGGCTTTAAAATTGTAAAACTTGGTTTCATTATTGTTTTCAAATTTGGCTGGCTACCTAAATGACAGATGACTTAATACTACACCGATGACTAATAATAATATATATCAATGACTGACACAGTAATTTACGCAAGTTTATTTTGATATGGAGAAACCCCTCTAATAACAGAATACTAAGAAGTGTTTATTAAAGGGGAAAAAAAATCTATAGTCCCATTAAATAAAATTATTAGAATTATTATGATACTGAATAAAAACTAGATTTATCTGTATCAATCATGTATACTATACGCCTACATTGTTTTAAAAATCTGATTTGGAATGCAGGCCGTACTCATTTTGACTATGCCAGGCAAACACAGGTAATTTAGAGGTACAGTATGGTTTAAATGGATAAATATTTCCTGATTTAGGATACTAACCAATAAATACTTCATATTTTCGATTTCAAAAAGAAAACAAGAAAATGAAACATAGTAAAGTGTCTAGGGTCATTTTTTAAGACTACACCACTGTCTTTGGGGAGGTTGTCTTGCAGACTCTTTACCTGCATTTAGACATGAAGTTTCCGTGATTCAGAATAATATTCAAGTAATTCAAAATGAAAATTGTTTCATTGGATAACTACACATTACAATGTACAAGAAAATATAATACATACTCTAAATTTTAATGCAAGCCATCGTGTTGGAATTTAACAACAATGTACAATGTTCTGTTTAGCTGATATAATACGAGAACAAATTATTTTATTTTACTGTAATTTTATTTAAATAAAGTAAAGTTTATTTTATAACACTGTATAAACCTATTATTATTTTTGTTTACTATTTTTTAATTCTTGTAAAATATTGTAAATTCTTTAAAATTACTAATCAGTAATTTATAATAGAAGTGTTTCATTCTCATTTATATTAATATATAGTCATTTTCACAGTAAGAAGTGTAACTTTTTCCAACAGGGGTCAAAATTTCAAAATAGATTTCCATTTCTACAAAAATCATATGTGATATAAATGTCCAAATTATTTTGAGCTTAATCCACATTAAAAACTTGAATAATGCTATCTACTGTATGTCTAACCTGATAAATATGATCAATTTGAGCAAAAACTACATGATTGCATATCGCTCAACTGAAATCATGTGCAGAGCAAAAACATTTTAATTACCAATTTTAATTTGTCTTTATAATGTAGTTCATAGACTAAACAATTTTTTTTTTTGTTAAACTGATTTGGTCTTTCAATATTTTAATGTAATTCCTCATATAACAGAAAAAATTACACTAAAATAACATTTTTTTAAGATCATTACATATTGCAAGTCTACAGATAACCTTTAGTTAGGGTTACTTACCAATACAAGTTCCAAAGGATCGTATTGTTATACCAAAGATGTAATTTTCCAGCCCACGAATTGCACGTCAGCAATCGGCAATTGCCGACCATATTGCCGAGCCAGAATTGCTATAGGACGGCAATTTTTTGCCGACCTAGGCCTAGATTTCTTTGCTTCAAAAACTGCTTGGAAAGTCAAAAACTTTGACTGAAACAGGCTATTAGACACTAAATTTCATGTACGTCGTCAAAACAAGGGAATTGGTGGTTCATAGAACAGATTTGTTTGTACAATAACAATTTCTAATAGGCATGTAGTACGTACGATTTGTGTACAATCGTCTTGTCTTTCTCGCCTACTCGTTTCGTAGGCTACGCCTAGCCTAGGTAGGAATGACGCTAGCCTGCAAAGGCCTACAACATCGCCCAATTGAAGCCACATGCCAAAGATAACGATAAAACAAATGCTTAAACGAAATTTATTTGGCGATTTTCTTATGTAAAACATAAGTATTATACTACACTACAAGTACAGTAAGACCATTCTTCCACCAGCAATATATTGATTTAATAGAGAAATTAACAAAATCACAATCTATAGATGACGATGTAAGGTCGAGCGTTCGGAAAAATCGTAGTTTATACTATATAGGCCTAGGTAGTAAAAAATTGCAGAGGCTGCCGACCCGGAGAATTTAAGGTCGGCAATTTTTGCCGACCTAATTTTTTCCTAATTTCAAGGGCTGATTTTCAGGATAACATGTTTCGGAGACTTCAGTTAACAATAACATAGGTTTTGAGGATTCATACATGTTAACATTATGATAAAAGCTCATTATTCAGACCAAATTTGAGAAAAAAACCCAACTATATTACAGTATTAATAAAAAGTCTAAATGTAATTTATTTAACGTAAGGTTTGCTTAAAAAGTGAACCAAATTGTTATTACATTAATTACAACATCATTGAAGTACCCTTACCAATGCCTCCTGTCTTATGTTCAGTAGTTAACATTAGGGATAGCAAGATCCCTAATAGTGGTGAATTATGGTTTAGGTTTTTTAAATAAAGATTTAAATATTTTTATGTATGTGGAAAATGTAGTTGATTACCAAAGGTTACAATTTTTATTTTGAAGACTGCATGGTCTAGGAAGTGTACATTTTTTTATGGGTCAAGTTTCCAAGGGCGGGTTTTCTAGGGGCGAGTTGACTGCCAAAGAGTGTTGCCAAAGTGCGAGCCAGCGTGTTATTTGATCACAAGCGTGAGACATCACAAGTGTGAGCCAGCGAGCATGACGTCACGACAATAGATACGAGACTTTAACGAGTTGTGCGAGGTATCGCCTGAGATTTGTGGAGTACAATTCAAAAAACAACTATAGGTCTAATAATGAATTATTGTGATGTTAAATAGACAATGTTAGCTTTCAAGGAGCGACGTTGTTTTTCATTGGGACCTTCGTCCCTTCAAGTCTAGGCCTATACCATCCTAGCTAGTCTAGGCCTTGAGTAGGATAAGGCTAGCGCGACATACGGACGTTGGTACGTGTAGGTTAGTCTACAAACGTCGCCTAAAGAAATTGATTTTACCCGGCAGAACGAAAGAAAGAATGACTTTTCAGAGGTCAAATTGCTGTCAAGAATATGAATTGGCTGCTTCGCAGCAAATAATTACAAAAATGTACTAACACAAATAAAAAACTAAACTAAAAATCAGAAGCTAATTTACAGAAATACAATATCACAAGGATAACAAAAATTGTGTTTACATGATAGCAATAAACATTTTTTTAAATAAATTGACATTAATAACATTTTTGAGGTCTTCACTAATATCATTCCAGATTTTTGCACCCCTATAATGATAAGCTTTTTTTTTCTTATACTGTAGTCAGTTCTTGGTTTTGGTAATAACAATTTTGGTTTACTTCTAATCATGGAGGTATACCTCCATGTTCTAATATTGTAATAGTTATCTCTGAAAATAAATTTGTTGAATAAATAAATAGGTGCAAGATTATTCATGATAGTATACATAGTGATGGCCTCATTTATGAGTAGTCTTTGGTCTAGGTTCATCCATTTAAGGCTTTGCAGAGCTTGTGTACTAGAGTCGCTTCTTGATGTTTTTGTAATTAATTTAGCTGCCCGGTTTTGGAGAATATCGAGCTTTTTGCTTTGAGTTTTACAGTACAGTACAATTTAGTTAATATACTTTAATACTGTCTAATAGTAATACCTTGTAAAATTAACAATTATTTCCAAAATAAACAAACTTACAAGGTTTTCGCTGTAGAAAACTAAGGGTGGGTGATAGAAATTCAACATTCCAAATAAAATTTTGGGTGAGTGATAACATTGGTAAGGTGGTAAACTCTAAATCACTAGTGGGCAAAGTTATAGAAACCCCTCGTTTTTTACATCCCTGACACTAGGTACCCCAATGAAGCCATTTTGAGTGTATACAGTTTTCAAAAATTTGTGAGATTTGAAAATTTTTTTTTATATATTTTGAAAAAGCATGTTATAGTGTTTACTTGCATACTGATGTAGTATATGATGAGTAAGTGCGATTTTAAAATGTGTTGAAAAACCTGGTGAGCTGAATTTGTGCGCATAAAAAAACATTGGGAAACCCCCTTTCCAACTTCAAAACATGATCACTTGATGACCGTCAAAGCTGGCGGAACGATTTTTTTGCATGTTATTAGGCTTTAAACAAGCTTTATTTTGATGTGTAAACTGTCTAAAATTGATGTGTTCATCCACCACAAAAAAAAAATTAGTGACAAAGTTCGTGTTTTGAGCAATTGTTCATGAACAAAACCGATCGAAAATACCACTAAACTAAAGCTAGATCTTATTTATATC